ATCCACCCGACTACTTTTGCAATGCGTGTCATGGCGAAGTTCTCTGAGCTCGACAATGTCTTCCACAGAAAAATCAGAGGCGTCGAGAAATCTTGCTGCAAAAAAGCTGCCAATGTCTGTAACAAACACAATAAAGTGCTCCAAGACGATGTAATTGACAACTTCTCCGACGTCCCTACCAAGGGACCGGCCCTCATCACTGGCTTCTAAAGAGTCATTGCCGTTTTGGCGCTGGTGGCTAGTTTTAGGGACAACAATATGCTGCGAAACCGTGCCACTGGTGCCACGTTCTGCAGTCTGCCATAGTACGATCCCGACGTTCGTGACATAGGCAGATTGTACGTTCTTTCCAGCTACAACTTGGCGTATGCGGCCACGTAGTGAGAAATTTGTCTCTGCATCCGCGGATGAGTCGCCGAATTCTTCGATCTTGATGTTTGTAAACTGGATATGCTCTGCGGGGAAGTTCATGTCCGTCCAGTACCATATTCTGCCATTGTCCGCACGTCCGAGGACATGGCATCCATGTACAGAAAACTCTCGAATAGACAAAGCAGAGGGCGCACTGGTCAGGGACGTGAAAGGAAAACTGAGCGACCTTGGCTCTATGCTCCCTCCAGCACCATATTTTAAAGGGCTTAGGCGTCCGACGGAGTAAAGTACGCCCTTCGAAGTAAGAAGAATAGTCGACGAATCACCGCATTGCACATCTGCAATACTTCCAAGCTTGCCGGTATGTTCTATCCGATCAGGCCACGATCTTTCCGAGTTCCGGGTGTATGGCTGCGGTACATGACATGAGCTGGGAAACCTCGTTTTATGACCAAGGCATCCATTGTTGTTGTTGCCCCAGGAGAATGCATGACTTTGGGCAAGCATTCGCTGGAATAGGGTGTGCCAGCGCCTTCCATCCCCCTGGATGAGGGGCTGATTAGGACCAGGAAAAGTCGTGCATGTTATTCTGCGCCAATATCCAGAGTCGAAGCGAATTTCAGGAGTTTGAAATGCTTTGCATGTTCTGCATAATGACAAGAAGCTTGACAAATCAAGGTAAGATAGTATCGGCAACAGTACATCGAGCGGGAGGGTAACAAGAGAAACAAGTAATGGTTCTTCCATAGCGTCGAATGCAGTTGAGGCGGAACGAGTATGAGAATTTATAAGTACTAACCGGTGACATGGCTATGCACATGACTACATGGAAGTCCCCAAAGCTGCCAGATGATATCTTGGCATGCGGACATGGCTTCTTGGCTGTTCTCAAAGATGCCCCAGAAATTACCTTGGCGTGCGGAGAAATCTGGGGAGTAGGATCATCTTGTGGTTTATGTTATACAAACTGCGGGGGTGTCCGTGGCAGCCCCCCTGACCGACATTCGCTTGTTACCTAATAGACTTCTAGCCGTCTTTTCCTATTCGTTAACTTCAATTTCTCTTTGTAAACCAACATTCCCGATAATCCTAGCATTGAGCACGTAATGGCGTTTCTTTGTGCGGGATGGTCTAGCTGATCATGGGAAGCCTCGAGAACGTCTTGTCGATGGTGGATGGATAATGCATGTGTGAACTCGCTATGCTTTCTCAAACACAAAGTATTAACGATTCGTTCTTGGATAACAAGCGAGAAACAACAATTCCCACTTACCTCCTCACACAGGCGTGTGTGCAACACTCGACGGGATAACTGCACACCAGAGCTGACATCATGTGCGCGCTTCCCCTACGAGCTGCTTATGCGCGCCGCTGCAACAGGTTCCGCACAAGATTATCCATGCGGGAGACAGTGTTTGTAAAGGGCTGTACTTTGCTTCGGAATCGTGCTCATAAGTATTGAGACAAGATGAACATTTGGAATCTGTAGAGATTTCAGGTAGGTGCGAAGCGTCGCGCGGCGTTTGCGACCGTCGCTATGCAGACGTAACAGCAAGATGGTAAGATGTCCGGAACATAAGTATAGCGAGTTCTACATAGTTGACACATGGTGCCGAGAGATGGCGTTGACATTGGAGATTTCGAAGAGAAAGGTGAGCTTGCGACGCGAGGTTGGATGGTGGGTGGCTGACCGGAACTACGCAAAACACTCGCCGATCAAATTCCGCGCTGCCGAGGTCTATTTTACAGGGCCTACCCGGAGAATTAATACACGTACTTGAAGTGGCGCTTCACATCCGTTATCATCTAGGTCACCGATGCTGCCTGGATAAAAACCTTGGTTGCGGGCTCTAGCTAAAAATGCAAGAATGAGATAGACTAAAACCGGTCTCTCTACAGTCTGTGCAAACTTATATACATGTTGTAACCGTGCCCATTCGATAGACAACCAATAAGTGTTTCGCAATACCCGGATGAACCAATAGCAAGATACCTACTGTAATCAATAAGTATATCGCAACACCTAAGTGTACAATAGCCACATACCGTTCAAGTTACTTCGGCTTAGTAGTTAACCTCGGCGCCAGATTTCTTCTCAATGACATCGGCAACCTTGCAGTCAGGTTCGGACATGGTGATATCAAAGCGGATATGCTGGTCGTCCGCCTCGCTAGCCGTAAGGGTGCCTCCACAGAAATCGTGTGTCCATTTGCTGCTCATGGTCTCGCAGTCACCGTTGGCCTTCCAGACTTCGCTGCAGCCGCACGCGGCGGCGCTGATCTTGCAATAACCGGAACCAGCAGATTCGAGCTTGAAGACGGTGGCGCCTAGAGCCTGGACGGAAAATATGGCGGCAGCGAGGAGGAGGGTAGAGGAATGCATGTTTTCTGTCTGAGAATGTTGACTCCGGTAAACCGTTTAAGATAGTTAACAAAGCAGTTAAGAGGTAATAAGATAGATTGAGTGATGATGAGATGGGATGATGGGGGAGGAAAGAGTGTTGAAAGATTAGTGGTGTGCTTTTAAACCCTTCGGAAGCTAGGGCCGCCTTGAAGGATCTCGTTCCGCGTTTGACATTTAACTACCCCTGCATATAGCCTTTAACCATAATGCATAATTCCGATGAACTACCCCTACATATAGCCCCTAACCATAGTGCGTAATCGCAATGTACTACCCGTGTATATAGCCCCCAACTAGCCCCTAACCACCGCGCACATAGCCCCCAACCCCCTTGCATATAGCCCCCAACCACAACGCGTAATTCTATTAACTAGAATAAGAAACTCTAAATAAGCGGATGCTTTACTCTAGCGGCCTAAGTTATAACATCCATATTATAAAGTATAAGTGTCACGGGTTTCTAGCGCGTTCCTTGCAGTTCTTACCAGCAAGCGCTAGCTGACGGTTTGTCTTTATTTGTTATTTGCTAATTGTTGTTTGTTCATGTTTCTAATGGTTTGTCTTTGTTTGTTATTTGTCAATTGTTATTTGTATTTGTCTCGCTCGTTGTCTCTCGCTTAGCGCCTAGCGCCTGCTAGCGAGCCATATATATGGCCGCCGCCTCTCGTTCTCTTCCTTTCCTCTTCGTACCACGTCTTGTAGTCAATCCTACACAATCTGATTTGTCAGCCAGGATCATTCCGATAACTCTCGTTTTTTCAGCCTTATTACAGTCAGGTGTTACACTACAGCCTTACCCCTTACACCACACGTTTATCCACTGCAAGGGAATAAGGATCTTAAAGAGAAAACGTATTCTTTTAGATAGCAGCATATATACCCCCATAGGTAGTAGTAATTTAGGAGGACAAGCGGCGTCCAATTCCTCGCGCCCAGCTTCACATATTTATTATAGTAAAAGCACAGAGTTAGTGTACTCGTTAGAGCGACTTAATATATAATCCAGTAAAAATCATTTCATGAAAGAGACACTCAGCATAAGTATATAGCACTTCAATTCCAAAAAGGTAAAATAGATTTTTAACTCATCTAAAACAATCTCGTTTTCCACTCTCGCACTAGGCAAGCTCCTCAGATATATAAACTCGAATATCAAGAAATACGAGTCCATTCGCCTCCGCAAATCTCCCTCAACTCAACCTCTCTAAGATCCCAACAGCTCTGCGCGTCCCCACCCCTCGTACACAGCTTCTCTGCTCTGGACGGCATCATAGAAGCTCTCCTCAACCTTGTCTTCATCCTCGGAGTCACTCTCCGTGTGACGGAAGGTCGAGCCGTGGGACAAGGTGGGCATGGCAGGGGAAGAAGTGATAGGGGACGAAGTGACATGGGACGAGATAGTAGGGGACGAGGGCTCAGGAGCAGGGACAGGCGGCTGGTCATACAGCACCATCACCGAGAGCGTGAGGGTTGGTGCGTCATTCACCGGAAGCTGTACGCTCAGCGCCATCATCTGCGCACTCAGCGCCTACACCTGCTCGCTCGAGGAGGCAGCCTTCGAAACCTGCGCCTTCAACTCACCGTTCTAAGTCTCCAGCTCACGGTTGCGTGCCTCCAGCGCCTCGATCCGCGCGTCCTTTTCCTCGTTTGCCTCGGACAGCTCCCGGACCCGCGCGTTACGGTTGCGGAAAGCCTAGTGAAGGAGCTTATTATTCGTGCTGAGCTGGATATTCTTACCATCCTGCTCCTTAACTTTCACCTCTAGCTGCATCTTCTGGTCTGCCAGCTGCGCGATTAAAACAGGGTAGCGCAGTACCTGCGCCGTGTATTCGTTGCCGCTAGGCTCTAGTGCAGTACAGCGCTCCTCGAGCGCAAGGCACTTATCTTGCAGCGCCGACTTCTCGTTTTCGGACTTGTGGTACAAGTTCTGCAGCTGGTTGTACTTAACAGTGAGTTCGCTGTATTGCTTCAGCACCGTCTACACTACCCTAGCGGGGACGGTGCCAGCCGTGCTCTCGGCCTGCGAGGACATTGTGAGTGCGTGGTGTGAGGTTTCTGGTTCTGGTTCGTGTGCAGTTTCAGTGTGTTTGGAGTGCCCGTTGTGCACTCTGAACAACCTGCTGTGTTTGTTGGATATCGCACCGTGTCTGGTAATTGCGGTCAAGTTATATCTGAACGACTGTAGCACTGTTCTGAAACAAGGCTGCTGGCTCTTGCTACTAATAGTGTATGCCTCTGTCCTAGCTAGTGTTGGCATGGTGCGCGAAGTTCGAGCATAGGACAACGAGATTCGTAGCGTGGATTGAATTTGCATACAGACAACTGTGTTGTCCAATGACAATATCGTCTGGTGATAATGTTGTAGCCGTTTCGAACAATGAACGATGAATAAAAGCTCTTCTGCTCGCGTATTGTGGAGGTATCATTGTTCTGGCATAATGCTACACCACTGCAACTCCTCCGCCTTTCTGCATGGTGTGTTGACTGTCGATATCTCAAACATTTTCCCACGGTTATATATATAAAATCTCATAGTGATTCTTATAATAGTCGGTATCCGCAGTAGATTATAAGTATACCGTAAGCGTTAATCGCTTAGTACCGTAATATTAGTAGTACCGGGAGTACATACTAAAAATTATGGAAAATAAGGTATTATTGTCCTGGCTCCGTAGTTGTCGCCGAGCCTGCCGGCGTGGTCGACCAACCCGAATGGGATGAGAGTTGAAATTGAAGAAAAGACGGAGAACCAAGCGGCGAAGATATAAGCGGCTGCGCTGACCAATTTTCTAATGCCTACGAACTGCGTGCCTCTAACGGTAGTGCGAGTGGTAAGACAGTGCAGACGTTGAAATGTAATGGCGCGTTGGGTCTCAAACACTGTCTGTGATGTATCAAATCTTCTCAACAAATGGAGCGATTTTAATAGGTACTTAACCATCGAACTTGCCATAACTGTACCCGAGTAATACGAGTACTATTAGAACGTGCTTCTCTCAGTCTCGCGTTTAGGACACTCCATCTCTTCCCAGCAACTCAATCCTGTCGCGCCGAGCCCTGCACAAGATCCCAGCAAGCCTCACCAGTAAACAGGTCTCGCTTATCGCATCGCCAGCCACGCATTCAAAGACTCCGGTTACACAAAGCAAAGCCAAATTCCGACGTCCGAAGACGCGGGCCAAAATGCTATTTTTAGCCGAGCGCAGTGCGGAGATCCGGGGGAACCGTATGTACTGCGCCTCTATCACACCCTTGCTGCCAAGCAACGATTTTTACAACGAAGTTGTGAGACGAATTTCCTTTCTCAGACAGGCGCAAAGGGTATTGGGGTGATGAGGCTCCCACAGGTCCTGCGGATCTGCTCTGGTCACCATGTCACGAAGCAAACAGTGTGTTCAGACGTTCGATGTTATGGGCCGGGTTGCCTCTTTCTGTCAGGTGCAGTGCGGGGATGCAGGGGCTCTTTACGTAATCGTGCAGCTCGTGTGCGCAAGGAATGTGGCTCTCATGCGACCTTTGTTCCGGCATCTGCGGTATAGCCTGCTTGGGGTATTCGTGCATAGCTTCAAGCGTCTGCGGAATTGACTGCCTCTGGTCGAACACCGCCGACCTTAGCCAAGTCCCGATCAGGTACGGTTTCCCGTTCGATGGCAATGTGAGCCCTACTACGATCCGTCGATAAAGCGAGCTTTTCGAAGGACCGCACAAGGCGCAACATCCTTTCTGCTGCCACACTGTCGTTGTGCACGAAAGTCGCGCTCCGTCGTGCCAGGTCTGTTCCAAACGACGTCCCACCATTCCCAACCGTGCCCCAATTATCACTGTAATTTGTTCCGCCGCTCAAATCGTACATAGGTATGTTTATAAGGCAGCTTTAGCCGTCGACATCTTCGATTACGATCCGCTTCTCGAAAAGCCGGCCCTGTTTCGTCTCGCTCTTTTGTCAGCAAAGCTTCAAGAAGGAGAAGCAAACGCTAGCACGTACTAGCCTCCAGCAGTGAGACGCTATGCGCCTTAGCTGTTCATCAAACTGCCTGCCGCGGCATAGCTCCGTGACTTGAGCGGTTGGTGTCGGACCGAAGGGTCAGGTCAATGCGTGGAGGACGTCGTGGACGTGTGGGAGGTGGGAGGGTGAAGGGTCAGGCTCCATTGCTCTGGAGCAGATAGAAGTCAGCTGCGACTGTGAGGAGGGATGGCTTTGTGAGCTTTGGATTGTGGCAGAGTGTTGAGAAGGTGATGGAGGAAGATGAGGCGGCTGGCACGCTGCCACGGCTGGCTGGGAGTTTGGCTCGAGTAATTTTTATCGCGCTAAACTCATATCGCGAGTCATGCGCAAAACGCACCACGCCCTGGCCCACGACAAGAACTCCACATCGACCCCCTCATCCTCTTCCATCCCATACGCGCCGCTGTTTTAGCGCCAGTATCTCTGTTGCATGTTAGACATCTCCACGTCATGCTCCACGGGCAGCGGTCTCACGCTCACGACACGTTCCCCGAGCCACCGCACGGCACCGAATCGGGCGACGCGACCGCAGCTTCTTCGGTGTAGAGGATTGTACTACGTCGGACATAATGGGCAGTTGGTTTCGGGGCTCAGCTTATGGCAGCTCAGCGGACGAGGCCGTGAGGCTGTCTGAGCGGATGGAGCCGCTCAGTGGACGTGGATGGAGCGACTTGCGGGCGCGCCGCGCGGTCGGGAAGGCTGTGACGGGGCTAGGAGGATGGGAAAGATACTGCCTAGATTAGGTGCCTGGAGAACAGGGTTTTCGCGTTCGGTAGTAAGTAGACGCAGGCACGGGACTGCTGTCAGGTTTCCTGCACAAAGGTTCTTTGTTTGTCGTTCTTCTTTGCATCCGTCAAAGGAAACGAGGAGGTAGACCTCTATGCTAAACACGCTGCTAAAGTCCCTCCCTCTACTACTACTTCTAGCTATGCATCCTATCGGATG